ATATTTAGCAAATATTTCGTACATACGCAAAACGACTGTGTGAATGCTGACATTCACCGGAAAATGTTGACATATGATACAATTAATCGGCTGATCTCATCGTTTGATAAAATCTGTTTTTATTTATTTATTTTGAAGCTCATATACAGTATATGCGCGATAAATAGTTTCTGTATCAACCTACCTTATTTCCACTATATTTTTAGAAAAATAATAACCAAGTAGTTTTCGCAGCAAAATATTCAAAAAACAATAAACACGTTAATGCAAAAATCAGTTTTATTTCCTTTTTCGATTCCGCGATTGTTATAAAATCGTATAATAAGAAAAAAATAATAAAATCGTTTTATTATTAATTAATAATAATATAAGAAATAAGTACAATAATATTTAATATTTTCTTAATTAAGTACAATAAAATTATTAATTAATTAATAATTTTCTTATTGTACTTAATTAAGAAAATATTAAATATTAAAAAAATACAGTATTTTTCAAGTTAAAATAAGATTAAACTAACGAAAAACAAATTGATGGAGAGAGACGACGCGCTTGTATATTAATGACGTAATACACGTAACTAAGGAGCGAACGAAAAGAACCGAGTCGAATTAATTAAGTCGGAAAAAAGAAAGTGTGCATTATAATCCAGAAAATGCGAGTATTGTATTAATTTTTAAAATATTGGTGTTAAATCTGTCTTATAATATCATGACGACTCCTGTAAATCGGGACTTCTATAAGAATAAAATACAGTAATACCTCGACTTACGCTACCCCGACTTACGCGAACCCGGAGTTACGCGATTTTCAAATCTCGTCGATTCGTCTTTTGTTTGAGCGCCACGCAACTCTTGATTACTCACTCCCCCCACACTATTGTTCAGCTTACATGTTCGGACGTGTCGCGCGGAATCGACACATAGCTACAATTTATTTTGTGTGATTTATTTTTGTGTTTGTTATATCTATGGAGACTTGAGAGACTCTATGTGGTGATTTCTTGTAACCGTGAACAAATCAAAAGGCGGGATAAGATTAACAAGAACATTTATTAGCTTACATACATCCCACTTGGATTTTACACAAATTGTGAAATTATACCCCGACTTACACGAATTCGACTTACGCGGTCATCGCTCGATCCCACCTATTGCGTAAGTACGGGGTATTACTCTACAATACCAATATAGCCCTATCGTTGAAAAAATTCGCTTATTTTTGCTCATCTCGAGTTTTGCTTAGTAGAAATGGATAAAAGTGCGCAAAATACGTACGGAAATATGGTATTACAGCATCACCTGTATTGGACGACCACCTGTCTAAAAGACCACTTTTTGAAGGAACCGTGGGTGGTCGCCATAGACAGGTTTTACTGTANAACTATAGTTACATGATATATTATTCATATAGTGGTGTAGATTATTTTATACATAAAGTATAAATAATATTATTAAAACTTATTTGTTTTTTGTTATCTAGAATGAAACAAGCATTCATTAGAAAGAAAACTAAAACTGGCAGCCATGGCAAATGCATTGTTTACTATTGAACAAGTTGAATTAATTCGTCGTTTGCGTAATAGTGGAATTACAAAAGAACAAGTTGTTATGGCATTTGAGCAACTTGATCGGCTAGAAGGAGAATTAGGAAAAACTGACACTTCCAATAAATTGTTACCTCAGAATAATAATAATAGCCAGAATTATGAAAGTTCTTTTAATGAATTACCAGTCAATAACAGTACCTTAGGATTTGGTATTAATAAATATACAAATATACCAAATTCAAATAATTCTTGTCAAGTAAATAATGGAATTTTAAATACTCTGAGATCAGATTTGACCCCACCCATGCAGTCTTCTTTTAAAGTGGGTGATCAGTCTAATTCACAATCATTTTCCAGACCTCATAGTAATGGAACATCATCAAGTGAAGGAATTTCAGACAGTAACAATGGAAATGTTTCACCAATAGGTAATCCTGTTACATCACCTACCTCAAAAATACCTACAGATTTAACTATTATTCCATTGACAACTACTTACACTAATCGACAAGGAACTGAAAGTACAGTATCTAATAAAGAAGTTTCTTTATCTTCCTCATCATCATCATGTGTTCCAGTACAGTGTATGATCAATCCACATGATTTATTGCAGGAAGAATGTTATGAATTGGAAGAACTGAAAAAGTAAGTGTTTTATAGATGAATTAAATAAATTATGTTTATAAATACAGGTATCTCTTGTATAACACAGTAGTTATGTTCCAAAAAAGTGACATGTTATGTGAATTTGTGCTATATGAAACAAAGGACTAATGCAAAACATGAGATTATGTTCCAGAAGTGAGCAAAAATATACTATTTTTTTGTTACTAAGAAAAATATGTTTATTAAAGCAATCAATAATTTATTTCCAATNTAACTTTTTTAGTTAACTTTAACAAAAAAAATTTAAAAATTATTGTTTATAATTAATGCTATAAGAAAGACAGAAAAATGAGAATAACATTAGAAATAAAACAGAATAATTTTTACATTTTTCTTTTCTATTATTTTAAAACAATGAACATTTTTTCAGATATAACTGCTGTATTATTTTTAGTGAGTGATTTTTTATTTGTTGCAAATAAAGAATATAACAACATTGATATATCTTTCATATAATTTACTTAAGCATATTAAGACAGACTATTTTTATATTGAAATTCTGTTATATTAGGCAAGATATATTATAGTCACTTACTTTAATGAATTTATAGCATGAGAATTAGATTATTGTACAAAATTATTTAAAACTTGTTTTATAAAAACAGAAGTGAGAAAAATCCATGCTTAGAAATGAGTTATATTTTCATAATTATCATTCTGAATAAATTAGTTTTACAAAAAGTTTCAAGTCACATCATTTTGATTTGAATATTTCACTTACTGAATATATGAACGGATTTTTACTATAATGTTTTGCAAAATTGTTATTGTTAAATAAGTATTCCAAAAAAAGCTTTGATTTGAATAAACCATTTGTTTATATTCTGCACTAAATTAGAGACTATATCACTATACTTAGTTATAAAAAATGCAGAACTGGATAAACTATTTGAATTATATGATTGATTGCATTTGATAAATATTTAAACTACAATGTAAATATATGTTTTATGTCTAAAAGATGCTATTACAATTTTTCAATTACAGTCNTTCATAGCTTCCAATGATGGCATGCCACTGCTATAATCTAGACATGTTAATCCTTAAATATGGCCTAAAACTCCATGACTTTTTCCAATGTGGCCCAGAGAAACAAAAAGGTTGGACACCCCTGATCTAGAGTGAAAAACTAATACCAAACTTGCAACATTTCAGGGAAAACAAAAGAATAAAAAATAAAAATTTTGGGTGTGGAAAATTAAAATACTTAACAGTTTTAAAATGTTGACTTTAATAAGTTTTTTTAGTGTTAAAGCATATGTACTTTTGGATTTTAAGGAGTAAACTTGACATACCAGAAAGTGATTTCATAACTTATGAGGTTTTCACTCTAAGACTTTTTTTTGACTGTTTATTCATTCAAGGATTTCTCAACCTTTTATCAATCTTCTGTCTTCATTTATTTTTCTGTTACAGTTAGTAATAATAATAATAATAATAAATAAGTAAATCTGGTAAACCAGTATTAATTTACACACTGTTTTCATAGAAAAGATCTACTTAATGTGCAAATTTACATCTTGAACTGTCACATACATTACTCATTGGATAATAATTTTTGATGAATTATTTTCATTAAAAATTAATAAATGCACTATCAGCCACTTTGGGGGTCCCTACTCTAGATCATCANATAATTAACAATTACAAGTAAAAGTACTATATTGGACATTAATATTAATTTTAGTTAAATGAGGACATTTTCTTTTTACAAAGTATTGTCATCTTCTGAACTTTTTTGTTGATCTTGATCAGAAGTATCAGCAACATTTTGCTATTTTTTATCATAAAAATTTTTTATGGATGATGAAATAAAAATATGTTATTAATCAGAAATTTGTTCTAATGGGTCATGTTTGTCCAGTTAAGTACTGTACCAAGCTACTTTTTTCCAGAATTTGTTTTCAAATACTGAATAATTGAAGTACCGAGATACTGCTTTATTTCATTTGTCATTTTACAAATGATTGCTTACCTATAGTTGAAAAAAGTTTAATAACACTTATCTAAAAATGTTTAAATAAATTTTACTAAATACGAAGATTAATATTACTACAGAAAGAAAACACAGTGACAGTCTTAAAGGCTAAAGTCTGAAAGCAACGATGAGAACACCTGGTTGATAGGAAAGTTAGTGCAATTTTTTCTTCCTTGTCCTATTAGTTTTCATTAAAGTAAACCTGATGAAAAGCACAAAATAATTTGAAAATTTCAATATTATAAAATGTGTGGGCAAATTTGAGGCAACACACATGCTTATTTGAATAAAAAAAATATTGAATAACGAAGTTTACACTTAAAAATCATGAAATTTTGTATGATGGATTTCCAAAACTGTATTAAAATGAAACTGGAAGTTGTGTTGTACAGGGGATATCCCCAATTTTCAAACTGTGTTAGACAAAACAGTGTTGTAGAAGTACTGTGTTGTATGAGGGATACCTGTAGACTATTTTTAAAAATAAAGTATTTATTTTACCTTGATGCATTTTCTTATAAAATTGTTTAAAACATTTCAATTTTTATTGTGATAAATATAAAGATTTTTGGTAATTCATACATACTTAATTCTTAAAAAATCTTTTTGTTTTTACAATATTGATGATCTAGANGGTTACATTACAATCCTGTGATATTTTAGGTAAAAAAAGAGCTTTTTCCTTTGGAAACTCGGGAAAATTTTATTTTCAGTTTCAGGATGTATATTATTTAAAAAAAAGCATTTAAAATATAAATACAAAAATAATAATTTTGTTGATCTGACTTTTAAAAGTGCATTTTATACCAAATAGTTTTGAACTTTTCAAATTGAAATAAAGGATCCAATATGATTAATTTAAAAGCAAACAAAATCCAATAGTGAAATTCATCCTTTATTTTCTTTAAAAACTCACAAAAGTAAATAAAGTTTGAATATTAAATAAAGTATAACTTATATTAGTACCATATTTTCATAGATTGTCTGGCATGTAAGTCTATCTGGAAAGACCATGAAATCATATATATCTGTATGGTAAGAACTTGCATGCCAGTTTAGGTGAGGTTATTCATCCCTCTCCAGAGGGCATGTGAAACTCATAGATGCCAGTTTTTATTCTAAGATTGTGAAATTGTCAGCATTACATCAAAATTTATGATTATATATTTAATTTATGCATTTTGTTTTCTTTCTAATGATGTAAAATACTGCTGCAATGCTAAAAGTGTTTTTTTACATTTGTTTTATTATAATTTTATCCAGAAAACACAAAAATAAACATATCAAATTTCAGAATCTCTCTGAATTTAGAGGAAAGTGTTATCTTTCAGAGTCAGGGTAGACTGTCAGTGCATCCCACACTGACTAACTACTACTACTACTAGCAATGTCAATAAGCCACTAATTATTTTATTGTACTCTGAAGAATGTTTTCTTTAACATTTATTTAACAACTAGATTTATTAAATCTGATTAATTTTATTTTTTTATTTGCAGTTTAGCCAGCATGGCTAAACTGGTTTCTGACATGCTGGTCTTCCAGTTATATTCTGCATGCTGGCCAATTCATGAAAATATGGTATATCAATAACATGTAAGGATAGTCTTGCTACATCATTGTGAACAGTATAGGTCACATCAAAGGCTTAAGAATAATATGATAATTGTTGTTGAGTGTTTTTTTTTCTCTTTTTTGGTTAATTAATAACTTCATAAGTTTTTATTCATTTTTTCATTTTCTTATTCATAGTTTTAATAAGCCTAATTAATATTATTTACAAATAATTTGTCAATGAATTAATTTGATACATGGTAAAATATTGTATTTGTTTTGTCATTCATTATATAGAAGTGAATGAAAGAAGCAAGCAGAATGAGTTATATATTTTTCACTTTTTAAATTAACTACTTTTTTATGTTACCTTTATACAGCTGCTGTCTTGGCTGCTGCAGCTGCTGTGATGCAACCGATGAATCAACCATCCACATCTATACCATCTATTCCTGCCACAACGTGGGCTTTACAATCTTCACAAATGCCTTTAAATGTTCCATCTCTTCATCCATCATCAATACATTCTCAATTTGATTTACCAAGTGATGAAGTAGAAAGTGAAAGTTCTCATGATTCTTCTGAACAGTTTAGCGGAGGTGATTTGATGAGTATTGATTTTGATGAGGGAAAAGATGTTATTAAACAAGAAACTTAGTTTATAAAGAAAATTTANAATCGTCTCCCCCTTCAATAAAACCTGTTACGTAATATCGTCCCCTTCACTTAGAAAAAATTTTTGTTGGGTTTATTAGTTTATTGGATAATTATATACTTTGTAAAAAATTAAACATTTATTTACTCAGAATATGTATTAGATTTTGATATAATTATAACAAAATTAAGTACAGTCGACCCCCCTATAACGCGATAGATATGTTTCACTTTATAAGAATTTCACATTGTAGGAATCCTTAAATACATGAGCCAATCACAGCCCGGCATGTGTGCAGTTTACGGACTACGGCTGTTTGAAAGGTTTTCTTCAATAAAATTAATCGATTCCTAGACTAATTTGACTCAACATTTCCAAAATATGTATATTTTTTTGGGAATAATCTGTATAAACTATGCTATAAACAAAAAATTGTAGGATTACTTACCGAGTGTGCACCATTCGACCATGCCATTGCTTAAGCTTGTTTTTGTCACGGAGCAGCGCATCGAACGGCGGGCGTGTTTTCTGATAAGTTATTTTTCTGTGAAAAATTTGCTGAACTTTGGAGACATTATTAATAGAAATAATTTTTATGGCCATTGAATAAGAAATGTTTTTTTCACAAGAAATGTATAAAATTACAGTACTGTATTAGACTTACAGTACCTAATTTANATTACTTACCAAGTGTGCACCATTCGATGACGCCATTGCTTAAGCTTGTTTTCGTTGCAGAGCAGAGCACCAAATGGCAGGCGCATTTTCTGATAAGTTATTTTTCTGTGAAAAAT